CTATAGAAATCACAGCTGAGTATAAGCGTATCGAGCTGCGAATATCTAATGGTTCTTCTATAGAGGCAAACTGTATAAGCCTTTGCGGGCTGATTGTATCGGTGATTGTCGCTGTGCCACGATTGTCTGTCGTCGTTGGCACATTGCGACAGGTTACTCCTTTTTAGTGGGCAGTTTTTTGTTCATTGTCATGGGTCTGCCTGCTAATCTAGTAGATATGAATATAAACCCGTCGTTCAAAGTGTCACCTTGTGCACGATGCGAGCCTCGCTCGCTGTTATTGTATATGCTGTAATATAGTTGTATAGGAGGCCGTAATAACAGTATAGCGTCCGCGATTGTTCACTCGTTGCACTATTTCGTCTCTAGAAAAGGCCTTTGTGGTGTTTTTTTCGCCGAAATTCGCAGCTAGAGTGCAATAATTAGGCATTATGGCACGAGTTGGTTTTTTTGTTATTTTTGTTTGTGTCATTCGTGGAAATTCCGTCAGGTGGCGTAGTCACACGCGACCGGGTTGGTGTTTATTTGTGTATGGAATATGTGTTCAGATCGACTTTTGCAGAAATTCGGGCCCAAGATAGAGAACATGGGTCCCAATAAACCAAATGTGCCTAAGCCGGTACCCTAAACCCTAATTCTAACCGCTAACCGCTAACCTAACGCCTAACAATAACTCTAACCATAACCCTAACGCTATTATATTGATATTAATATTATATTTATATGATGTAAATGACATTGGTTTTATTGGGCCCATGTTCTCTATCCTTGAAACCGAAATTCGTGCCAGCATCAATAGAGCTGGCAAAAGTTTCGAGGGAAGCATAGAGCATGAATCTGTAGTTAGTTTAACATGAATAAAGTGTATGTTTTGTAAGTGCAGTAACAGTGTCGAGTATTTTTAATTAAATTTCTTGTTCGATGCTTATTCAGGCCTGCAGCCTATGGACGGCCTCTACTTGTTGTTCAACACCTATATTGCTGTCGTGAATATTCTGTGTAGCAGCGCCACCTATAGTCGCAGAATTAAGATAATGTCGCCAACCATGAAATTTTGACGGAGGTAGTCTGAAATAAGTTGCTGCTCCCAAAGACGAGCGGAAGAGAATTAGTTTTTTGCATTATTTTCAGCTAAAAAATCCTGTTAATGCGCTATTTCATCGCTAGAGAGAATGTAGTTATTTGTTATTTTATTTTGGCCTTATTCAACCAGCAGCAGACATGCTTGGCTAATACGGCAGAATTTCCTTTATTTATTACCCATTTTATGTGTATAGAATTCGCACAATATAAGATAAACTAACGTAACAGAGATTCTAACGACGTTTACCACATTTCGAATATGTGGCAAGTCATGCCCGATCGTTGCCGCAAGGTGGCACCAATCGGTGTTTGTCAGCATTTTTACTTGAGGCTGATATGTGTCCACGGCTAACGCCGAGAAGTTTGGGGGAAAATACTGCGCACAGCGCGAGATACACCCGCAATGCAACGCCCTCTAAACAACAATCCGAATAAGAAATGAACGCGTCAGACATAATTCAACACGCGAGATATTCTGGCGTACGAGAAATCACACATTCTAATGATTCGATCTAAGAATCTATAGTTTACAACATCACACACACACAATTAGCACAATCAAACACACACACACCACACACACACACAGCACACACCCACACACACACAACACACACAACCCACACTGCACGTCTGCATACGAGGGGGGGGGGGGGGGGGGGGGGGGGGGGGGTCTCGGTCTGCCGCAATATTGCGACAGACGAGAACGGCGTTTCTGGGAAAGACGCGAATATTAGCATATCACATACTTTCCACACATCTATTTCCTATTTCTTCTTTCTAAAGAAGCCAATCCATCGTAAGTATGGCGAGTAAGAATTCACAAGAACAACAGAGAAGCGTTGGAATAGGGCATCAGGTATTTTGCACATGCACTCTCGGGAACGCCGACGCGACGTCTGACCAACGCAACGCATCACTGCCGCCGCTGCTGCTGCTGTAGCTGCCACTACTACTACTACTATACTACTACTAACTAGCTACTGACTACTACTACTACTACTAACTACTACTAAGCTACTACTACTACTACTACTTACTACAACTACTGCTGGGCTACTACTACTACTATACTACTTACTACTAACTACTACTACTACTAACTACTGACTACTACATACTCTACTACTTACTATACTACTATACTACTATAATAATAATACTACTATTATACTACTACTAACTACTACTACTACTACTACTACTACTATTATACTACCTACTACTCCGTACTAGCTAAAAACTACTACTACTACTACACTACTACTACTAATACCTACTACTAACTTACTACTACTACTACTACTATAATACTACTTTAACCTAACTATACTACTACTAGCTAATTACTAACTACTTACTACCTACTACTACTACACTACTATTACTGGGCAGCTACTAACTACTACTACTACTACGTAACTACTAACTACTATCTGCAGCTACTACTACTACTACTACTGACTATACTGCTACTACTACTTTACTCTACTTACTACTACTACACTAACTACTACCTACTACTACTACTACTACTGACTACTACTATAATAATAATACTACTATTATCTACTGCTACTATACTTACACTACTATTATACTACTACTACTACTAGCTAAAACTACTACTACTACTACGTGATACTACTACTAACTACTAATACTAATACTACTCCTACTACTACTACTACTAACTAACTAACTAATACTCACATACTATCTACTACTACTATCTACTACTATTACTGCAGGCTACTACTGCTGCTGTTGCTGTAAGGTGAGTATATTTCACGATGCCGCGCCGGCGGCTGACGAAAGCGCCGAACGCGCCCGATTTCATTTCATGGCAAATAGACGCTGGCGGGCATCTCTCTGCATGATTATAAATCCCGCGCAACAACAACGACGGAACGACGACGACGAACGACGACGACGAACGACGACGTCGACGACGAACGAGACAACCACCAGCGACGACAACTTCGACGGCGACAACAAACAACAACAACGACGACGACGACAGACGACTGAACAAACGACAACAACGATGATGACGACGGACGACAAAGACGAACGACAAACAACAACAACAACAACAACAAACAACGGCGACGAACGCGACGGCGAACGACTGACGACGACAAACGACGACGTAACGAACGACAACGACGACGATGAACGACGTTTCGCTGACTCGATTATGCGTTGCCCCATCAAGATGATCTGATTCGGCGCGCCGCGCGTTGTGCATACGTCTGCTATGGCCGCACATGCTCACAACACACGTGAGCCTTGTCGATGGCGAGCGCATGCATGCACTACACACATTCAGCTAAATAACGCAATTTTAATAATCTCGATATAATAGACGTGGCGAATTCAAATGCAGGTACATTAGACAGCGGCGGGCGCGCGGCGGCGGCGGCGACCGTTGATGATATTGCGATCCGTAACGTCGGGCGGCGGCGGTCCGTTGCGATTTTACGGCAAGATCAATGACAGGAATATAGACATTACGGCGTTACATTGACTAGAGTATATTTCGCGTCGTAAGATAGGGAAATAGTGAAATAAAAAGGCAGTGTAAGCTCAGCGGCTCGGCATGAAACACGAGAGCGAAATGTGTATGTAGAGTAAACAGGATGAATCAGAAAGACGTCATATGCCATTGATGCGGTGGGGTGGGGTGGGGGTGGGGGTGGGGTGGGGGCTGAGTGGGTGGGGGGGGTGGGGTAGGTGAGGGTGTGGGTGGGGTGGGTGAGGATTTGGGTGGGAATGGCGTGTGTAGTGGGCGCGCTTAATCATGTCCGCGGGAGGATGCGATTAAAATCTCAATAAAGTCAACATGTTGAATTAGCAAAAGAACGAGCGAACAACCGTAGTGGCGTTCGAATACCAGTGTGAAACCTCCTCGCGTCTGTTTGTTTCGTTATTTGTTTTTTTTTTAAATTTGTTGTTTGTTGCCATCTGTCTGGGCTGTGTATCTTTGTTGTTCCTGTGTGGTCCTGTTTTGTCTGGCTATCTGTCTGTCGTTTACTAAGTCACACTTGAAGTGTACAAAGCTCCACATTAAGAGACTATCTATTTTATTTTAATTATAACTTTTTGATTATTATTCTTAACTATTCATTATTTCATTTATATATATAAATTAAAACAATATTGTCGATAAAAATATGTGGTAAATGTATTATTAAAGTTTTAATTATTTATGTTTTATTTATTTATTTCAATTATTTTTATTAAACCACGTGGATCTATTAGTTTTATAATATTGTGAATATACAGCGCTCAGTGCGTTATTATTTTGTCATTCCATTTCAACACTATACAGCTTAAGTGTCCGTATCCTCGCACATGCTTTAATAAAAGAAGTGCAAACAACCTAGATGAAGCACTAATTG